AAGATTTAGTTAGAGATTGATAACCGATTTGCTAATAATAATCCCATATTTGACAAGTTGAATAATTGTTTTAGAAAAATCAGTCACAAAAATAACTCTACCAAATAGCTTTTATTTGGTTTGATAACGACTGGGCCCGGAAGACGCGACATGCAGACAAATCACTAATTTCGAGTTAAATATATTTAATATTTTCCTTCAGCGGTTAAAACAAAAGACTCATCGACTTCTAAACCCTCCTTGCAAAGATTAATCCTTATTCACCAACACAAATTCAGGGATGACAAAACAAAGAAAAGTGTCACTGTATAGATATGCAACTGCAACTTTCAAATACTTTCAGACACTCAGTGGTGCAACCCGGACCGAGAGATCAAACCGATAGTTGTTGGCTTACGAGAGTGCAATGACTCCTTTCAAGATGCGGGCAGTTAAATGTTGTCTTTTAACAGCGTAAAAACTCTTGCACAAGCTGCACTTATAACACAAGCTAGGTGTGGGTGTGTTTGCTTATGTGAGGAGAACTAATTCGTGCTACAATCACCTGAAAAAAATTACTCGAGACCACGCTTACAATGAAGATGGCTGACTCAGACTAGTGCGCTGTACAACACTAGACCACGTGACAGGGGCTCGACTCTCATGGACAAATAAATAAATAAATAAGTCCGATCGTGCCATAATGTGGCTACACAATTTGTGTAAGCCGCACAAAAATGATTTACCGGCAGCTAAGGGAATATGAATAAGTTTGCTTTTAATTTCGATTTTTATTACCTCCATTTTGAAATTGCTGGTGGTCCGTATAATCTGATTGGCTCTAATTGGTGCGATTTATTCCCAAATCGCACCATTTTTTGCTCTAAATCGCATAATTTTACGCTTGACTGAGTTTTTGACACATGACATCAAAGTCTTTCTGTTTAGCACACAAAATAAGATGTAAAAGCGTTTCAGGTTCCGCTTTTTATTTAAAAACCGGCTTAGTACTGCATCAGTAAAATACTTGAATTGACCAAGTCCTGTATTTGGGCGATTTCAAAATGGATGTAATAAAGTGGTAATTGAACCTCGTGTCGTGCAATTTTGGTCTGAAATCATACTTGTGATTTCAAATGAGTATGATTTCAGCCCAAATTGCACTCCACTCTGTTCAACCACCACCATTATTAACTAAGATTACTCTATAAGAACAGATCGTGCAGTCGTGTTCAATTTTGTTTAATTTACTCTCATACAAATCGTTAACAGGGATATAGGCATCTCCAAATTTTCATGAGCATTACGGACATTTTCCAAATAAGAAAACATATCTCGGTGTAGAAATGCCATTTTGCCCGGCTCGTATGGCAATAAAGTACTTTATTCGAAAAACTGAAATCTACTGTCCATGGTAAACATGGCAATAGCTCTCCTTTACTGTTCTTTAAAGTTCAACTCTATCCTTCACTATGATATTACTTATTCAGAAACTAAAACAAGGAAGTTATAACGAACTAACGTCCTGTTTGTTTTTACGCGTTACGTGTATAAAACATGAGTTGTTTTATTGATAAAAAGTGCTGTTCCACGAAGCAAAGTTTTCTCAAGGCGTGCACATGATGGTTACTGTTTTGACTCTTTGTCCTTTTATTTGCTTAACTAGGAATGATATTGAAAAAAAAAGCCCGTGCAACGATGTTTTCTCGTAACGGACGAGCGTTGACCTGTAGCAACCGTAACTTAATAAGTCAGCTTTGTAATAACAAGTGAAATGATGACTCGATCGTTGAAGATTTAACTATCCTAGCTCCAAGGACAGCAAAGCGCTCGTCTGATTGTCTGCTTTACTGCTTGTCTCACTTCACTATCTTTCAGCAGTAGTAAAGAAATGGATTTAACGTCAAGTTGAAGTAAAGTAAGGTTATTGCCATTCCTCTGGTGTTGATTTAATGTGATGAAAATGTTTTTTTACGTGCCGTCACAATTTCAAGTATGTTATACGGTGCGTAACAAACAACTGAAGCTAAAAGCACCGCCAATGCACTGTTCACTGCCTTTCTGTATCGCAAAATGTTCAGTGTATTTCTTTGACTCGCCTGTTATTGAACATGACCTTGTATCTGGGTCTGATGATTGTTGAGGGTGAAAAAAATCTTTGTGTACGAGACGATTGAGATTACCCGGGACATGACGGAACGGATATATATCCATACCACAAGGTTATATACGATAATTTGAAATATACTGAACATAAAGCAGCTACACCGGATAAAACCCAAACGACAGCTTCAAAGTTACACTGAACAGCAACAGGGTGAGAAAAGTCTGTCCACACTTATGGCCGTCATTGTCCACAACGATACTGATAATGTATAGCTTGTTAAGTGGCTGACGCCCCTTGTGTATCGACAAAAATTCCAATATTCGTAAACTATGGATATTGGTCATGCGATAAATAGTATAGAGAGGGTGAGCAATATGACCAACCAACAGATCAGTTGTGAAAGTGTAGTGTGAT